AGAGAATGTGTATACAACTATCCATAGAAAATGATTTAGTTTATGGCTGGCAGTGTACACCTTGTGTATACCATTGTGAGCTGAATGAAAACCCGTATTTAGCCTGAAGTTTTCTGCTGTAAAGTCACAGTTTGTGTGTCTGATGTAGTGACCTTGTGAATCTGCAGGGTTTTTCGATGAGAGCCATACTCCGATCTGTGCAGTCTGTTATTTTGGATAACACTGGTCTGTTCATGCTCTTCAACACAAAGCTGCTGCGTGGGTGTTATGTCGTTGCGTGTTTCTGTGAGCGCGCGCCCTGTATTCACATATGATTTGTACTGGGGTCTGTCAGATTGACTGAGCTCCAGTACAATGTCTCTTTACATAAACAGTGTAATTATAATTTATTCGATGATCAGCACCGCGTGATTGTTAAGCAACTTTGTTGGATAATAAATGGGTCTCTGGGATGTTCAAGCTTTTCCTTTATACGAATGACAGTTGTAGCTCTGTGGCATATCAGCATGTGTGGCATGTTGGTGGCAGCGTGGCTATTATGCAGACACCTGCTGTTTCTCTGTGGCCACATTGTGAATTTAAACTGTTAGTGCCAGTCCTAAGTCAGAATTCAGAGTCTTAAGCTTCTTATTTACCTTAGATATCACATTTATTTATTAAGTAGTTTCTGGAAACTAACCTAAGAGTCTCCAGCCATGCTAGTGGCTCTGTGAGGCTGTTCTTAGGCACAGTGGTGCTTTGAGCTAAATGTTAACATCAGCATGCTCACTAGGGCTGCAACTGACTGTTATTTTTGTTTTTGTTTAATCTACTGATTATTTTCTCAGTTTTGTTTGGTCTATATAAATCTCGCATTTTCCCAAGATGACATCTTAAAAATGTCTTGTTTTGTCTGATCCAAACATATGATGTTGTTCATGTTATATATTTTTAAAACTTTTTTTTTCAGACATTTGACTGGCCAATTCATGGTGGGTGTATTCCACTAGAGGAAACATCAGGAATTCATCCATATGTCATTTGGATTCATCCCCTGGGCTCTTTGAATGTCTGTACAAAACTGTTAAGGAAATCCACCTTGTTGATGATAAGTGTGAAAACTTTTACCTGCTAGTGTTGCTAGATGAAGAGTTTGGGGGATTACCAAAGTCAGTGTGATTCATCCTCTGGGGACCATGAGTGTCTGTACAATTTCATGGCTGTTCATCCAATAGTTGAGATATTTCAGTCTGGACCAAAGTGGTGGACCGACCAACAGACAGACAGGTCCATCAACAGCGCCGTGATACTAAGATGGATAAAATGCCCTATTTCTTTACCACAATACAAAGTCCTTTGGTTCAGACAAGGAAACAGATTTGTCTTAGAAAAAAAGAAACAGAAACCAGTGGTGCCATAGCAACTGTAACCCAAGCAACGGTCACCCAAGCAACTTACTACAGATACTGCCCTGTCTCTGGCGCTGTAAAGATACTGTTTGTTTTTGTCTTTTCAGAGTGGTCACATGTTGTGTCACAGCACTTTGGTATTGGTATTGGGCACGTGTCAGTTAAGTGTCACTCGTCAAAGTGGGACATTGATCCGCATCACTTCTCTAACAGTCTCAGAGGCCATGTGCTGGTGGGTGCATGAGGTTGAATTTGTCTGTCTGTCTGTGTAAAGCTCTTACTAGCCGCTGCTGGCCACACTGCCAATCCCTCTTTTAAGCCGAGCGCTCCATTGACTTTCCAGCGCTGGAGGGGGAGAAAGAGATACAGTTGTTTTGATGGAGAGACTGAATCACAGATTGGAAATGTATTCCCTGTGATCCCAGGACCTCTGTGGAAGATCTGAATGTACCGTAGAGCTGTAGAGGCTGCATGGCCAAGTCTGTGGTATTAACGTTCACTGAGGTCACAATATTCTCATATTTCATTCATCATCAGTCCTAGAATCATTCACATTGAAGCTGCACATGGTTTTAAAGGAGACATTAAGATAGATAGAGAAGATAGATGCAGTCTGTACTTCACAGAGCTGACCTGTTGTTCTTGTAGTTTATGGCCTCATGATGTAGTCTCCAAAGTTGATGGCAACAGACTGGATACACTTGAGTTTCAGCAGACGAACCCAGCAGCAGCACACTGTGTATGGGTAAAACAGCTCACTGTCCTTTTGAGGTACAAGCTCAGGCTCAGTTTGCTGGACTGTGCATATTATTGATTACCCAACTTATGATATTCTGTGTCTCTCTCTTTGTTAATCATGTTCTCCATCTGTTCTGCTCTTTTGGTTTGAAGGTAGAGGTCATAGGAGCCAGAATATCTTGACCAAATTTATTTTAAAGCCTTGTACTTCCATTTCAATTTAAAATTTGATCAAGTTATTGCTTATCCAAAACAGCGACATTAAATGGGATTGAAACATAATGTTTGAGGTCCACATGATAATGTCACACAGACCATTCAGTGGGTTCGACCTGTAGCTCTTTGGTGCGAGTCATCCTCTCTTTCTCTACCTCCCTTTCATATCTCAAGCTGTCCTGCATTACTACATTGGACGGTTCCAGCTTTTCAAACGAGAGGTTGTACAAGGTTTTTTCTTGTTTCTTTTTTTCATAGTGAACTCAATAACTCTGTTGGTCAGACAAAAAAAAGCAATTTGAAGATGTTACCTTGGGCTCTTTTTTCTGATGTTGTATTGACCAACTGATGAATCAGTTATTTGAGAGATGATGGAAAAAATCATTAGTTGTAACCCTGTACTTCCCTTTGATATTTTAATGCTGGGAGTTTGATGCAGACGAGGCAGTGCAAGGCTGTTGGTATTTTTTGATGAAGATTGTATTGTCAAAATCCATCAGGCCTGGTCTGTTCTCAGTGCATCATCATCGGTTTATCAGCCATCAGTGTGTGCAAACAATTGCCTGAAATGTGCAGCAAATACAGAATAATGCAGAATAAAGTAAATGAATAGAAAAAATTATAGAAAATAAATAGAATTCAATGCGAGTAGTACAAAGTCACACAGAACCTTCTGTACAGAGCTGGAAGTCGTGTAGGTTGTAGTATGTCTATATAGCCACAGCATACTGTAGGTTATCTCTGCAGTTGAGATATTAAAATAGACCCTCAATGCTTTGATTGTGTAATTGCCTTCTTGGCCCACGTTTAAACCAAAAGAGGTCTGAAACGAGGTCATGGCAGCTAAAAAATTGAGGCCAAAACATAAATAATAATAGTTATCTTCCTCTTTGTCGACGTACAGCAGCCTTCACTTGTCATCTGTCAGAAACCGTCACTCAAACTAAAAATCCAGTCAAAATGGAGGATCTTGCATTGCAGTTCATCTTATTGACGTTTCAATTGTCTGTTCTGTCCAGTTGGACTTTGAGTACAATTTATTGACTTTATTCTTGCCTCTGGCCTAATATTAAAGATTTGCTGTCCTGGGTGACTTCAGCAGTGGGGTTTCTCTTGAGTGACTTGTTTCAAACTCACTGGAATCTTTGAGAACTCTATATAAGATATTAATGAATGTGCACAGAAGATTTCACAAATGTATTTAGTGATCTGTATATAAAGGGCTATCCTCAAACATATTTTCAACGCACACAAAAATATTATATATAAATGTAAATAAATCCACATATTTAAAAAATGTTTTTGGGGGCTTTTATTGCCTCCAATTGATAGTGACAGCAGCTCAAGAGCAACAGGAATGGAGGGAGGGAGAGAGATGGGATGACGCATAGAAAAGGGACACAGGCTGGAGTGGAACTCATTAAACTTGGGCTTGTGATATAGCTGGAAAAATCTATTACAATAACATTAATAATTTTATTCCATCATAATTTTTAATTACCTAGACCGGTGCCAGGTGGGAAAAAAGGTTACATTTAACCTTTATTTATAAAGGCACACAGGTCATTTCAATGTTTGATTATTCTGTATTGTTGCTCTCTCCATCGTGGACTGACTGTGGTTTCTTGAGATGTTTCTGATGACATTGTTGCACACAAAACAGTCACAAATCCATAATCCAAAATTTATACAACAGAAAAGACCTATACGGATGGTAAACGGCTGATTATCATGACTCAGCAAACATATTTATGAACTCACATGCTCTCAAATTTAAGATTTGGTGATTTGACTATAAAATGGCACATATTCATGTATAAAGTAAAAACTAAGATGCCTCCAGACTCTATCCAGAGGGTGTTGCAAATTGAACGATGAGGAATTTGCATCTTTACAAAAACAAATGCAAAACAAAGATGTTTAGCAGTTAAAGGAGTTCATTTGTGGAGTAAGGTCCTCAAGTTATATAACTTGAAATGACTGAAATAAACTAAACCAAACCAAACCAAACTAAGGGGTGGAACCGACTGGTGATAAACTCATGACACGCTCCGGTATCAAGGGATATGATATGATCCAAGTTATATTCCTTATGTGCTTATGTGTTTTGCATTTAAGTGAAACTCGATATTCTATTGAATTTTTTTCTTATTGCTATTGATGAACTGTCTGTTGCTGATATATATTGCTGTTGTTTTGTTGCCAAGGCCTACGTTGAACCTGCATTTACAATCTGATTGTCATGTGTGAACCTCACTGCATTTGTGTGTGGGTGTTTTTGGAGACTCCTGTGGCTCGATTCAAAAGGGAATTATCTGTAGCATATCAGGCGTCTCGACATCATTAATATTGAGGCCCATCTGATTCCACAGAAGTCCATTATATACGAGGGGTATCGAATTAATTCACTTGGTCTATCTGCTATCTCTTCAGTTGTAAAAACTTCAACCAAGTGGCAGAAGGCACAAGTATGTTTGTTTCTGTTGTACGTAGGCTGTCCACATCTCACCTGACTGACCTCATGAGAGAGTATGTTTTACATTAAGTGGAAGAAAGCTAGAGAGAAAGAGGTCACATCACACTGCACGCCAATCTGCAGCTAGCCTGAGCACAACCCCCCCATCCATCCATCCATCCATCCACCCCCTCCTCCTAACTCTGGTCCTGCTCCAGCACTTAACAAGGATTTAATGTTGCCCAATCATCTGTCAGGCAGATCAACATGGCTGTAATACACAGCAGCAGGTCCCGCGGATGAGGCCACAACCCGATACAGAAGTCCTGAAAAACAACAGCCGAAAAAGCAGCATAATCCCTCAATCACTGTAATAACTCTCCCTGCTCGCAGTCGCTTTTTCTCTCTCACACGCACACAAAGTGCTTTGGCAAATGAAAATCTGATGTTTATGAGTTTGGGAGAGTACATGAAGTAATCCAGGGTCTATCTGGACATTTGTGTACATTGTTAGATGGATCATTCATTAAAAAAAAAAAAAAAAAAAGCTACTGGTGGTTTCCAACCCATTAACAATATGCTGGTGCTGCTGACAGTAGAGCTCGGGTTTACATGCTAATCCTCTCCCTACAGCTTTTATTCAGTAACTCCTGATAGGAAGCTACATTTAGATACTGTGACACCGAAAAGACACCAAGGTCATGTGGATGTCAGATATGACTGTTTTCACTCCCACAGTCAGTTACAGCTAATAAACCTGGTACTCGGGGTGTGTTTATTCGTTTGATATAAAACTTGGTTATCAGCTTTGAGCCACACCTTGTATCTTTCATTTTAAGTCCTGACAACATGTCTTTGTTCACTTCAGTGTTGGGGAGACAAGCACATGTTTTGTCTTGTAGATGCTCCCGGGGGTTGTAACTTTTATCCTCGAAATGGTTAATCCAAGAGAGGGATAATTTTATAAATGAGAATATCTTGCCAAATACAGATTTTTAATATGTGATATTTAGCCAAGGTAGAGTTCCAAGATTGGAGAAAATAGGATTTGTGAATAATTTATGGTTTCTTTATTGGCCCAAGTTGTAATCTAGCATGTCTGTTAATCATCTATCAGGCTGGACAGGCAGCAGCAGAGGTGTGAATCAGTTATTATTGTTGGCACCTGCGTACAGCTTTGCCAACATTTATACATTATTGAATAATTAATATACAAACAAAATCAGCCTCTAATTTGGCTTCTGCAGTTTACTGGTTATTTTTTTTTATCTTTTATTGGTACTGAAATCAGGCAAGATTGTTTAAACTTTATTGTTTATTATCATTATTTTATCAATTAATCGTGTGTGAAATGTCAGAATATTGTGAATGAAAATGCACAAAATCCAAGATGATTGTATTAAATTGCTTGTTTGTTCAACCAAACCTAAATGTATTCTGTTTACAATCATATTAGATAGATTAGAAAATCAGCAGATATTTACAATTAGCTAACCCTAACCCTAGCTGTATGGATGGTAGTGAAGTAAAGGTGAAAAATAATAACAAAGGTACCACTTAAAGGTCCAGTGTGTAACATTTAGGAGGATTTATTGGCAGAAATTGAATATAATATTAATAACTTTGTTTTCATCAATGTGTAATCACTTGAATATAGGAATCATTATGTTTTTGTTAATGAGCCTTCAATTAGTTATATATAAGTTATATGGGACACTATCAAACAAGTTATCAGCAATATTAAATATTATTTCTTCTTAGTTATATTCTAGTTATATAGTCCAGCTTTAAGTAGAGTAACTGAGTAAATGTTTTAAAGTTACTTTCCACCACTGCTATCCTGCCCATGTCTCTGGTTTTTCAAAATAAGAGCAAATGTATTAAGCTCCAGAAAACCTTGCTTTTCTATATTTCTAATCTGTAAGGCTTATTACATTTTTTTTATTCAGTTACAGCCCTTTATTACATAATTAAGTACCGTTTTGATCTGAATATAAACCCTAGCAGTGAGTCAAAAAGTGAGTCAAAACAGTAAATTCCCAACACGTTACTGTAAACCCACCATTTGTGCTCCTCCTGCTCTGTATATAAACCACAGGGAAACCCCATCTGAGCATTAGTGACACTCAGCTGGAGATTACTGAGGCAGACGGCAGCAGCCACATCAAGAAGACACACCAGCTGTAAATGTCGCTCCGGGATTTAACAACCAAATGTTTCTGCTGTGCCCCAATTGAACTTTTTAATGCGGGATTCTCGTCTTTGCATCAGACTTTCATCAGCTTTTATTGAGGGTGCAGTGATTTACTGTTGAGTGCAACTGCAGCACAGACTTAGTGTCCTTTTTAAATCAGTTTATGCAGAAAGCGTCTTTTAAAGGAGACTTTTTGTTAAAGCAGCACCTTTTTAATAAGGTTTAATCCCACCGCTGTCGGTTAATCCAGTTCAGCCTAAATTGCCGGCACCATGCTCTCCACTGTCCGCCGACACAGCCTCCGCCTGCAGACCGAGCTCCACCGGTGGAGCATCTGCGACCCCGGCAGTCACCTGCTGCCGGACAGCTTCCTGACCCGGGTCCCCGCCTGCATCTCCCGCTCCAAGTCCTGCACCAGCTCCGCCGGGGAGTCGGACGGGAGCCGCGGGAGCTGGTCGTCCTCAGACTCGGTCATCTCCACTGACTCCGCCGGGGATTCGGCCGAGCCCGGGAGCCCGTACCGGGTAGTGCTGTTAGGGGCCAGCGGGGTCGGAAAGACTGCCTTCGCCAGCATCTTTGCCGGAGCAGCGGACAGTATGGACAGCGATGACTGCGAGCTGTGTGAAGGTAAGAAAATATTTTTTAAAAAACTATATCAAAACTTTTTTAAATGCTATTATTGATCAGATCTGTTTCATGTTTAGAATAAATCTTAGATGGATACAAACAAAATCTGAAAAGGTCATTCTAATCTCAGTATTGAGCACCATACACATTTTAATTTCCTATAATAATAATAATAGTATTATTTTTAGATTATTATGTCCAACACATTGCTGTCAACAAAAGGACAATATAAGTCTGTGGTTTTACTAATGTAAATGTGTTTGTTGTTTGTATAATTTCAGTTGAAATGTGTGAAAAGGAAATTGAAGTGGATGGAGAGCCTGCAACTCTAACTGTGCTTGACTCATGGGATGCAGAGGTGAGACAAAAAACAGACGCAGTAACTTCACCTCAGCCTAAATGCCAGCGCACACACACTGTACTGTAAGTCCTGTATCTGACTGTGTGTGTTTGTCTTTGCAGACCGACAACGAGTGGGCTCAGGAGTGCTACATGCAGACAGGTGATGCCTACCTGTTGCTGTACTCTGTGACTGACCGGGCCTCGTTCCTGCGAGCCTCAGAGCTCCGGATAACCCTGCGTCGCTTCCGTCCTGCCCAGCACACACCAATCATCCTGGTGGGGAACAAATGTGACCTGGTGCGACGCAGAGAAGTGTCAGTCAGTGGTGAGGGGACCTATTTACTGTCAATGGAGGGGACACAGTCCTCTGTTTGTACTATTTACTGTGAGGTTTTTCCCCATATGAAAGTACTGATGATTGACTTTCTGTTTCAGAGGGCCGTGCCTGTGCTGCTGTGTTTGACTGCAAGTTTATCGAAACCTCAGCCGCCATGCAGCACAACGTCTGGGAGGCTTTCCACGGCATAGTGCGACAGCTGCGTCTACGCCGTGACTCCAAGGAAGCCAACAAGCGTCGCAGGCACATAAGCTGTAACACACGCCGCGAGAGCCTTCCAATGAAGGCCAAACGTTTCCTCGACAAGGTGGTGGCAAAGAACAATCCTAGTGTGGCGTTCTGGTTAAAATCTAAGTCCTGCCATGATCTCTCTGTGCTGTAGGGGCCCTGGCAGATCTACACTAAACCTTTGAGCAGGTGAACAAGTTACAGCCTGGAGGACAGAATATGTGGACATGGGCTGGAGGGAAGCCTGCTTCTACAGGGCTAAAGGTTGGATGGTTCAAACCTAGTCCTCAGTGGTTCACATCCACCCTCGGCACAGCCAGCACAGTGTACACGAGAGTCACCCATATGTTGCAGTCTGAACTAGACTGAGAGGACTGAGCTCAGTTTGTCAGACTACGAAACGGACTGGAAATGAAGTTCCTGTTGCAAAGACTGTTTGAGTGGCATAAATGTTGGAGGTTAGAGCTCAGCTGGTGGGAACTGACAGAAGGATGTGATGTTCATTTCTGTGTTTTGAACAAAGAAATAAATACTAGCCTTTTCTCTCCTTTCTTCTCTCATCTCTTTTGCTCTCATCCCTGCCAAATGTTTCGTCTGTCGATCCCTAAAGTGCTAACATTTAGCTGTAAGCTATTGATGAAGGTCATTTTGGTATGATGGTTATTTAGTCGTTACTTTGAGTTTCTTCATAATGTGTTGTGTTTTGAACTTACTGTAAATAAATACCAGATTTATAATGTAATGTATTTTGCTACTTGTACGTAGTTTCAGTGTTGCCTATTGAAATAAAGTGACATCATGCAATTTTGATTTTAAAAAAAGCTGTCCTATTTGTCTGTCATCTCAACCTTACTAATGAGATGTTACCATGGGTGACTCAGCTTTGACACAAAAGAGACACACTTACACAAACAGGGTTTAACAGCAACACAACTGAGCTGATAAAAGATGAGTCAGGTGCTGACATTAAAGCTGAACTTTCAGAAACAAAATTAGTCTAATGTGCGTATGTGTGTGTGTGTGTCAGTTGACTGACCAAAGTGATTTGACTGCTCAGCGACTGATCAGAGATTTGGGTCACAGTGTGACATCAAACATCATGCTCAGACACCGCCTGCTCGGATCCCAAACTCAGTTTTGTCAGAAAATGCAGGGAAATGTGTTGCCAAGGTAACATTAAAAGGAGCCTAGGAAGTGTGTGTGTGTGTGTGTGTGTGTGTGTGTGTGTGTGTGTGTGTGTGTGTGTGTGTGTGTGTGTGTGTGTGTGTGTGTGTGTGTGTGTGTGTGTGTGTGTGTGTGTGTGTGTGTGTGTGTGTGTTGTATGTTCAGTCCAGGGAGCGTCAGGCAGATGGTGTTGGTGCATGTTGGACAGAATATCTATCAGGATCCAGGCAGATACATGGACCCATGCTTTACATAACAGAGTCACTTCCATCTGAATTAACGGCTTCATTCGCTGAACCATCAACACTGCACTCACAGGTTCTGGTTAAATAGCCGTCCTGTGAAACAGTGACTCACAGCCTGCTTTTCATACAGTTGCAGATTTGCACAAATCTCTGCCTTGTTTCCGAGCAGGTTTCTACAGCCTGTAAAGCTCACTGCTTTGGTAGTGTGTGCATCAGGATGTATGGAAGATAATCCCAGATACATGTGATGTTGGGTCATAAAGGATAACACTCAGTGACAACACTGACATCCTCTCTTAAGGTCACCTTTAATGCATTTATGTTGCATTCATTTATACACTTTATAGAAGTTTAGACAGGACCGAGATCACGAGCTGGAATCAAACCCTATTTAACAATTTAATGATATGTGCCTTGACCTGCTGAAGCAACCAGATGACCCCATAGCTTTACATTCTTATGAGGCAATGGATTGTCAGTGTAATCTGTTAGTCTATTGTCTACACACAGCTCCTTATCAGGCACTGCTACTAATGGAAAATCTGACAGGAAACAATGCAGAGGTGCGCAGGTCAAAGTCTGAGGAGAAAATTAGAAACTTCAACGCTGAATAACAGATTTCTGGAGAAATGTCACACAGTATAAAACCCAGTTTGTTCAAACCTTTGTCTTTGTTTGTTACTAATTCACACACATGCATTATAAAAAGTATAACTTCTGACTAAGGCTGTGAGATTTCTTCAACCAGTTTATTTTTTGCAACTTTAACCCACTAACATAACTCACAACTATAAGCATTTGAGGATTCATGTAAAATCAGTGACTGATATTAGGTACAATATTAATGGCCTTGTCTTTCACAATATCATGTGTCATTGTTCTGTTCTTCCTGTCTCCTTCCTCGCTCTTTGTCAGCTACCTTCCCATTGGCTGTCTTGACATGAGGGCAGGGTGATTAGACAATCATTAGATCCAATAAAACATAGCTGGTTAGCACTTGGTTAACGTTTGACCAGACAGGATGGGGCTGCTCAGATCACTCTGAAGTCTGAGGAGTGACTCGCTCAGTCTCCCCAGCAAGGTAAGTCTGCTCACTCTCCTGTCGCCCAGTTTTGGAAATGTCGAGTATTTGGAGTAGATTTTGAGGGTGAGAATGGGACACAAAGTGGACCGCCTCTGTTGGTTTTAACAGGTTGTGTTTGATGTGTAAGATGCTTTCAGTTTGTTGAAAAAGCGCTGTGATCTTGACTTGACTTTGGTAGGGCCTTGGTGTTAGGTGTTGGCATGTCTGAGAACCAATCTCTCCGTCTTTGTGGCTTCCTAGGTTGTGTCAGTGCCTGGCTTTGTGGGGATATTGCTTGTATGGTACACTAGATTTAGCAGCTGAAATGTAGATCATTCAGTCATTATGATAAAAAGGAGGAAGAGAAGGCCTGCAACACCCAAATCATTGTATAACTTTACCACCTCAACCATCAAAGCTGCAGTAAATAATTAAATTATTTCCTCACTGGGAGTCATCTACTTAATTCTGGGTAGATGTCTGCAACCTGCTAGTTAGTTAGAAAATGCCAGTCAGCAGAGGTAGTGGTCAACATGGAGACAGAAGTACTAATAATTGGTAGATAATAAATTCAGGCAACTAATTAATAACCAGTAAAGTAAAATTTTAAATCTGTTAATAAGGAGTGTTGCAACCGGCGGGCAGTGACATTAAAGTGTTGTGCTTCAAAAAGGTCATTAGCCACGACTCAATGTCACCTTCACTTTTCTGTGGCCGCTGACTTCAATCTTTTCTCTCGCTGCACTTTATGAGTCCAGCACTCTTTAATTTGATAATGTATCAACACATTCTATGATATATTCGATAGTTTCATGCATGTTACGTTTTTTCCATTGTTATCCGAAGCATTGTCATACTAATGTTAACTCAAACAACACTGTACATATATTCTGCTGTCGTCTGAGTTTATAACCTCTTTGAGGCGCATTGAAGATACCGTGGCAGAGCAGCGTCAAAATGTGTGACACATGAAATAACCAGTTAATCTTCCATATGTCATTTTTGGATGTCAGAGAGACAGTACATGCATTACTTATCAATCTTTTTAAACACATATACAAACACACAATTAAGGCTGTTATGTTATTCTGCACTCTGACTGCCGTAAACTCACTGAGGTTACACACTTTGACCTTTGGGTACCTGCGTCAAATAGACACCCACCGTGAAAAGTTGGCTTGAAAAAGAAAATCTGGTGTTGCATGTAAGCTCTGACTTTCAGTTTCTGCTGTACCCTGAGGTGGGTGGGTCACCTGGTTGTGTAGGTGGAGCCGCACATAGAAGGACTTTAAGTTCCCATTTAGCTCAAAGTATGAGGCCAAGAGAGATAGCATGCACATGTGTGGACACTCAAGGACAGAGGACATATTTTCCTGTCTTTATGAATCAATAACCCATTGCCAACAGAGAAAGTAATGTTCTGAGGTACACTGGGTTTAATTGTTTCTTGATGGATTGAGTAACAATTATCAGTTTTCATTATTTCTGAGATTTGAATTTATAAGCAGAGCACAGTGAATAATATGCTTTCTAGAAATTTGAATGTGTAATTTAAATCCTCTTCGTGTCACCTCTCTGCCTCCTCAACCTCCTGCTTTCTCCTTCACCATTTCATCTAACTCCTTTCCCCATGTCTCCTCCTCCTCCTTTTCCTCTTCCTCCTCCTCCTCTTCTTCCTCTTCCTCCCCAGACTATGATCATGACACCCATGGTGCATCTGTTGTTGCTCCCACTCCTGTTCAGCATTGTGAGTACATCGCACTACCAACTGCTGCCTCAGTCCTTCAGTACATATTCAGAGTAAATACTCAAATACATGAACCTGTTAAAACAGTCAGTGTGGATTAATGCGTAGATTTATTCATGTACAATTTATAGAAACTGTTTTGGTACATGGGAAGTGAATGCATACAGGCTTTTTTTTAATGATAATTGATGTCTCCTGTGCAAAGAAAATGGCAATAACTGTCTGCAAGGTTAAAGAAGGGAAGAAAAACCTTTGGTAACTTATTTAAAACACTGAACAGAGATGTAAAGTGTTACTAAACTGAGCATTAGTCCTTTGTCTGTAGACTTTGCTCTCATGTCCAGCAGTGGGATATAAGAATTCCCATTGTCGTGTCATTTTGGTTCAATAAATAACTAAGCTATAAAATCCTGCCCTCAATGCCTGACTACATTCAACTACAGTACAGATCTAAAGCAAAAGGGCAAATGTGGGTGTGAGTGTGACAGGTTCAATTTTACCTCAGCCTGTACTATATTCATTGACCTCTGACCTCTGTTTCTGTGCTCTGACAGGCTGGTGGGAAGGATCTGGAGGAAAAGAAGGGCCTGTTTAAGGACACAGAGCTGAATGTGCCAGAGGGCACACCAGTGCCATATCCCATGCATCAGGTATGACACACAAGCAAGAACATTTACTCAAGTACTGTCCTAAGTACAATTTTGGGGTACTTGTAGGGAAATATTTTACTTTTTACTGACAGCTTTAGTTACTTTTCAGGTTAAGATTTTATTTTAAAAAACATTATAAGCTTTTGAAATAGAATATAAAAAAGCAGAATCTACGTGAGGCTCTTGTCACAGGTTTCAGATATTTGAGTTGATTGCAGTTCTGCCAAAGGGAGATTTCCATTCTAAACATCTCACATGGTTTCCTTTTAATAATTGTTGTTGAGTCTGAAAAAGGTAAAATTGAAGATTAAAGAAAAGTTTGAAAAATGAATACAAAGTTTTTCCACTGTCATTAATCATCTCACAATCCCTCAGATGTATCTTGTGATAACTAGGTTGGGAAGCACTGTTAGTTTTGTTTATTATCCTTTTATAAATTCCCTTTTTGTTTAATTTGAACTAAACTAACTATATATAAAGTAGTTAAAACTAGCTGCACCTGGACAACAGTAAAATACTTTGTAGTCATTGATGCATCAGTATTAAAGATCTGATCATGTAAAATATGATACTTTATCAGTCACAGGGGTTTTTACTTTTTATACATTACATACATTTATTGATAATACTTATTTACTTTTATTTAAGTGGCAGTTTGAATGCAGGACTTTTACTTGTAATAGAGTATTTCTACATTGTTGAACTGGCACTTTTACTTAAGAAAGGTTTTGAGTACTTCTTCCACCACTGCATGCCAGCCAACCTCTAGTCTTTCAAGACTATAAATGAAAATGTCCTTTCTCTCCCTTCCTCCCCATCTTTCACTCCATAGTTTCAGGTGACCCATCAAGGTATTAATAATTTCAGGCTGAGTGGAGAAGGTAAGGAAGACATCAAGATTTCAAATGACGGGTGGCTGTACCTGGAGAAGCCTC